TGTGTAAAGACTAAATAACCAACCGCCCTGAGTATAATCGCGAATTTGGCGGCGATAGACCCAATGACAATCTACTCCGGCACTAAAAAATACGAAATGAGGTTCGAATGAACAAATCAGAAAGAATAAACAAATTTGAAAAAAAAAATAAACAAAAATAATAAAAATTAAAAAAAAATAAAAAAAAATAAAAAAATTAAAAATAAAAAAAAATAAAAAAATTTAAAAAAAAAAAAATAATAAAAAAAAATAAAAAAAAGTTTTATGGGAAAAAGTCAATTTTTGGAATTTTCCAATTTTCCGACTTTTCCTCAGGGAAAGTATAAGTTTTTTCTTATTCTAAACCTTCGCAGATCCACAGCGAAGAGCCTCTGAAAACCTAATCAAGATTGGTCCCGCCGTTCTTATTCCGTAGCGTCACTAACAAACATTTTTATGTATTAAGTTTGCCGCTGAAGCGATCTCCTGCTCCGATTTGTGGTGTGCGTTTTGTTGTTTTTTGTAGAAATAAAGAAACTTACAGTTTATTATAGCCGCCTCCAAGCGGCAGAGTAATTTTTATAATGAATTTTATTTCTTTCTGCCGAAAATACCCTCAGAGGGTTTATAAATCCCTGGCGAGACAATGAAGATTCTGCATAAATTCAGTTCTTATTGCTTGAATGTCAATCGAAAAATGTTGTATGTCCCCCCTTACACGCTGGAATTCAGATTTATAGTGGGAGAGAGTCAAAAAGATCTCATATTCGCGCATATGAAGTCGCACGCTGAACTAGCTCGAGGACCAGATTCCTTAATGCATATTGACGAAGTAACCCCCACTCACGTCCACGTCCAACAGTGACAAAGCATCGGTTTTTACTTCCACAAGTTTTTTAGGGCTGCAGTAAGGTGATTCGGTACCCACAGACATTGGATATAATTATGAATGAACTCATAACGCAGCATTTGAAATTGTAAAGTAAATATCTGTGCTGTCTTACAGAAACCACACTCGCAAGCAATAAGTTCACAGTAACTTCTGGCTGAAAAACAATCCCAGGCTCTTTGCCATAGTTCTCGATTGGGTTTAACAGGAAGTTTCGTCTTACCAATGAAGTAATTTTATGTTACCTTTCTTCAATAGTTTCAGTTCTCCTACGAGAATCCAATGAAGTAAAAGTCGCTCAATGCCAGCACCAAGTTCTCGTAAGCCACGCAGCTGGAGATGAAATCGAGACTCTCGAAAACAAATGCTCAAGCACACTTAAGACTAAAGAACCAGCCTTTCGGAGTATAACCGCGACTTTTGGAGTGAAAGACGTAGCTGCAGTCTCCACAGGCACTATTCTTTACAGCGAGTACAAACGAGACTAAGCGTCAAGGTTCGAGTGGCTCGCTCGTTGAACGATTTCTAATTTCTAAGCTAATGTAACTCCCTTTCAGCCGCTTCTATCACACCACAAACGCAACTGATCTAGTTAGTACCTGTCCTTCACCTCATGTTGTTTTAGCATTGTTGTTGTTTTATGTTTCTCGCAACGATATTTGCTTGTCAAAAAAGTTTTCTGTTCGGTAATGCTCCTAAGTGTTTCACTTTCCCGGTCAAATGAAGGTGATCGTTCCTCAATGAGAGGAAAACAGTTACCGGGGTTCTTTATTACTTGGAAAAACAGACAAATTCAGTCTTGCTGGGGTTTGTGTCAAGATCAGTTTGGACTAGAAGGAATATCTCTTAAAGACATTATAAATATTAAGAGAGACTTCAAAGTGTTGTGAGCATAAATGTAGATACTCGGGTGGGGTTAAAGTTGAATCTAAATAAATATTATATTGGGTTTCTTTTTGCGTGTGAACCGCTTTATTTTGGTATCCGACTGCACTGAAATAGGACGAATAACGTAGAAACATTGACAGATCCAAAATTACTGTGGGTGGTTGTTGGTATCTATTGCGCTGATTTCGAAATCAGACTTTACTTTATGCTACGCAGAATATCTTGCTATAACGTTCTTAAAAGCAGGGAAACAAATGATAGGACCAATAGTAAAACAAAAGCATCTATTGGGTTCCAGGTCGCAAGAGTATTGTGGGGATCGAAATGGTTGAAGGGATTGCCAAAGGGATCCATGAAAAAGTATCAAGTGTGCTGAAACTATTCCTCTCTCAATACAAGTATGAAGCACAGCAAGCTCTAAGTATACCTCAAAGTGTAACCCATGATCCGTATATGTCTATTTCTAGAAGTTCTCCAGAGCTGGGCAAGATTTTAACAAGATTGTGTCACACTACACGAGCGAATATGGCTTTATTGGGATAGAAATTTTCCGGCCGCCTAATCTCACGCCTTGGCAGTGGCTACTGGCCACCTAGATCATGCGTTTTAAACCCGTTTTTTTTTTTGGGGGGGGGGGGGGCTACTTGAAATTGAAAACTAACATTCGTCAAGTTATGGCTGAAATACCGTTGAATGGGCAAAAAAATGGCTTAAAATTACCTGAAGCGTAACGTAACTTGCAAAAATTCTCAGAGGGTTTAATGTTTCAAATACATTGCCAAAGCTCAAACTCTATAACAAATGGATTCTATGAAATTTATTAATATTGATATTATTTTAAATGCTTTTTAACCACGACATAGATAACCCTATACATTAGGAGAATAATCATTCTGCGCAAAATTAGGGTAAAAAAGTCGAATATTTAAAGTTCTTTTGGCTTTTGACAAATTTTTTCAAAATATTTTTCCTTTAGAGATGAGATGAAATAAAGATTTAAACAATTATATCAAAATTAAACCTAGTGCTGGCCAATTCAACATGTAATGACCCAAACGTACATCCAAATGATTCAAATTTAGTTTACCAGAATATAAAAAAATATATAGTAAAATCATTTTCTTCAGAAATATTAATAATTTCACGATTTTGGCAGTCTTCCATAATAATTTAACACATTACATTGAAAATATTACTTAATGCAAAGCAAAAATGTGAAATTACATTGCCAATGCCGATAGTCTGCGATGTCTCATTGCACTATGTTAACTGACAGAATGCAATACTGTTGCCTAGTTTAAGGCGTTGGCCTTACATTATCGTACATGTACGATAGATATGATGTATGATGAAGTAAAAAAGATGCATTTTTGTTTATACATACATACGTATAATATTGTGTACCCATTGAACACATGTTCCACACATACATATGTATATTTGTTCAAAGGAAAAGCTAAATCATGTGTAACGCAACACATGCCAAAGAGTAGTTTGGTAGCCAAGATGCAAATTTCATGCTGCAAATATGTATTTATGCAATGCCTAAACTATTGACATGTTTAAGCAATCTTTTTCCCTTTCAAATGGCACTTATCGACTTCTCAGTTTGGGCGTTGAGCAATAATTTTGGTAAATATTTTTGTATAGATGTTTTTTTTGTATCTAGTTGTACTGCATACTACTATTTTGTAAACAGTGAAGCTGGATGAACTTGATTCGAGGCATATGGTGCATACAATTACTGACAAACCCAAACGTTTCCATCACCGCAAGCTGCCCCTTAGGTGGGGCCTTAAAACTATCACTTTTTTCATCGCCGAGGCCCCATGTGGGAAAACATTTTCCAGGCAACATTAAAAGAAAGGGGATGACATGGAAACATGCAGTCTGCTAAATGAACATGAAACATTTACAGAGACGGTTCTAAAATGGCATCTGACAGTTTAAGAGTGAGCCAACTGCATATATAGTAGGCTTAAAGCGGGAAAGGACTGAGAATCGGAATAGTTAAAGAGTCTGACAGAAAGTGCTATTTCTTTAGGCCACTTAAACGAAACATCAAATACCAGAAATGTTTAAATTTCTTAAATAAGAAATAGACAAAATATCCGAAAAATGGCTTAAAGTGATTTGGAATGACTTAACAGTCTCCTAGACTCTGCAATCAGATTGTAGTCCTTATGACAGACCTCAACATGCTATCGTCGTATTTCTGTAAGACGGACAATGAAAGATGGAAATGTACAGAGCCAGGCACAAAGGAGACATTGGAATAGCAGCTCCGTTTCTATCCGGTCTTAACAAACACCCTAGTTCTCTATAAGCTCTGCAGTTAAGAGAACTAAAAGAAGTCTGAAAGCTAGCAATAACTGTTAATTAAATTGAACCTCCAACTGGAACAAAAATCAGGCTAACCTAACCTTGGGCAAATATAAAATTTTTGTCTCAGCCCGCAATTGTGAAATCGTGCAATGCAGTTCGATGAAATAGTCTTTACAAGAAAACTTGAGAAACAACCTAAAACCGCTAGTTGTCAAAAATAACTGTAATACTATTTTTTTCGATGCCAAAAAGGTAGTGATCCATGTAACAATACCATTGACTTGGACTTTCCCCAGACATAACGATGAGATCATGGGCATCTTCAGGTGTTGCAATTATCCTACCTCTCTGCTCTGCTTCTTCTATTGGACTACTGTTTTTACTGGTCGCTTTCATCAGACCCACGTATTCGATGTGTTTTGTGCTCAGTCATAGATCTTTCTTCTTGATTGCCACGCTGCTCTCTTCCACATTCCATGTAGCTCCTCACTATCTTTGACACTTTAGTGCTTAGTTCTAGGATGGAAAAGATTATCTCCGCTGCTTTGGTTGTATTTTTTGGCTAAAAAATTCATCTACCTTCCATGAGTGACTCAACAATGATACGTTCCTTGATAGAATCCTTCTGCGATATGCCTTGCTGTACGTAAAAGTCCTCGTACCTCCTCTCGGTTCTCAAACTTGGCACACCACTCTTATCCACTCACCGTTTTACAGAGCTTATCACAATCAATGCTCTCTTCCAAGTTGAGACTCTGTTAAGCACTGCGATTTGTCTCATATTCATTCCTGGCCCACGTTCTATCGCACACACACTGTACTTTGCTTTTAATTCTTTAACTCTAACCAAACTGTCTATTTCAGTAGGATATTTTGGACTCACATCAGCTCATAATCACTCTTTTCTCTTCTTTTACAGCGCATTATGGACTCAGCCGAACAGGCCGCTCTCTCTGAGTTGGACTCACAAAATTCTCATAGCACTTCGGCAACAACAAATAACCAACATTACGACGCGCGACGCATAAACGAATACAATTCGGATGGCAAACTGGCGGACGGTGCACGACACATGGATATACGTTTTATGCGTCGCTTCGAACGTTTGCCTGTAAATTTGAGTCTTAGCTCGATTTTAGTACCGAATGGCATCTCACTTGACGAGGCGGATGTGAAGTCAGCGCTGCAATGGAGTGTGCACTTGGATCCACTCTTTCAAAATAATCTCGAACGGGATCCGGCTTTGTCATGGCAGTATTTCGGCTCATCAACTGGTTTCTTGCGACGTTTCCCCGGCACCGCCTGGCCGCCGGAGGGCTCGAAAGGTAGCAAGCAAATACATGATTTTCGTGCACAGAATTGGTTCGTACAAGCCGCATCGTCGCCAAAGGATATTGTGAGTTTTATTATATGTGGGCAATTAGTTTATTTCTAATGGTTAATTTTTCATTTTGCAGATGATCTTACTCGATTCTTCATCAAGCATGTCGGACAAGTCTTTCGAGCTTGCCATGGCTACAGCTTTTAACATACTCGACACATTGGGTGAGAATGATTTTGTAAACTTGATTACATTTGCGGAAGATGTCAAAACCCCGGTGCCCTGCTTCAAGGATCGCATAGTACGCGCCACGCCTGACAATGTTCAGGAAATCAAGTCGGCAGTTAAGGCTATTAAGCTTCAGGATACAGCCAATTTTACCGCGGGCCTGGAGTACGCCTTCAGCTTGCTACATAAGGTAAGGCCGTGAAGACGTTTTCATTACTTTATTCCACTACTGATTTTCTTTTACTTCCTTTACACTAAAACTTCTTTAGTACAACCAATCCGGCGAGGGCAGTCAGTGTAATCAAGCCATTATGCTGATCACCGAAAGCACCTCTGAGACGCATAGCGATATTATCAAGCAATACAATTGGCCACATATGCCAGTGAGAATTTTCACCTACCTTATCGGCTCCGATTCGAGTAGTCGCAGTAATTTGCACGAAATGGCTTGCTCCAATAAAGGTTTCTTTGTGCAAATCAATGATATGGATGATGCAAAGAAGAAAGTTATTGATTATGCTCTTGTTATGGCCCGACCCATGATTATGTATCAAGCCGATCATCCTGTACATTGGAGTCCCGTTTTTGTTGCCGGCAAGACTGGCGGTTTGGCACGCGACTCTGACTATCAGCGTAGACTTGTGACGACAGTTTCAACTCCGGTCTTCGATAGACGAAATCATTCGGTGCGTGTGGCAAATTTACTCGGTGTTGTCGGCACCGATGTGCCCATCGAGGAGATACGAAAAATGATACCGCAACATAAATTGGGACCGAATGGATATTCGTTTATCGTTGATAATAATGGGCGTGTACTGTATCATCCAGATTTGCGTCCATTGAGTGATGGTAATCAATATATTGATCAGTTGCGGCCGCGGTACACGTCGGTCGACTTAACGGAGTTGGAACTGCCGGAAACTGAAGTGGGCAATGAGCATGAGATTGTCGAAATGAATAAGAATCTATTGTATGATGTAAGTGGAGAGAGAGAAGGAGAAATTAGAAACTGAATTGAAGTACATATAATAAAATATATTTTTTTTTTTTTGAATAGATGCGCAATGACATGCTCATGCCCAAGGAAGGCGAAACCGAGTTTACGGTCTTCAATCACTTTGATGATATGAAACGAGTTACAGCGCGTACACAAAGGTATGTATGTTACGGACCGTTTATTTTATTTTAATTTTTTATTTATTTTATATTTATATTTAGTTATTATATTTTATTTTAGTATTTAAATTTTATTTGTTTTAATTTTTTATATTTTGTTTGTTTTTTTATTTTTTTTTTTGTTTATTTCATTCCTTGATTTTAATATATTTTATTTTATTTTGTTTTATACTATTTTATTTAATTTCAATTTACGTTATTTCATTTTATTTTATTTTATTTTATTTTATTTTAGTTTATTTTTTTTTATTTTATTTTATATATTTTGATTTTTATTTAATTTTAAATTTTATTTTATTTTATATTATTTTATTTTATTTTATTTTATTTCAAATTAAGTTTTCTGATTATTTATAATAAGTGTTTCACCTTGTTCGCAGGTATTTCTATGGACCTATTGAAGATACGCCCTTCACCTTAGCTGTTGTACTCCCTGAAAAATATGGCAGCCATGAATTAGTCTCTCAACAGGAAATAAGACACTCGCGTAGAAATGGTGAGTAGCATTCATTTATTTATTCTTATACCAAATCATATTATTCACTTTTGTTTCTCTCTCCTTCCTCTTACAGTTACCGAGTTCTTCAAAGGAGACAATTGGCGCGTAAATCCCGATTGGGTATATTGTGAGTACAACAGTGTGAGTGATTTAGAAAAAGAGCGTGAAAGCTCTGGCGAATATTTATCTGCCTCACGTGAACAAGAATTGAGTTTCGGTTCACCCGAAGAGCAAGTATTGCATTTCTTGGGACGTGCTGGTCGGCCAGGCTGGAAGTGGATGTCGGTAAGAATATTATATTGAAGAATGAATTAAGTGAAGGTTTCAAACGAAAGTAAAAATTTATTCATGGAAAAAAAGATAGCTTCTCTTTCGTATTTTGATTGAGTAATTAATTGCTCAGTAACCTCCCACAATTCATACCAAATTATACATTTGATTTTTTTTTTTTAAATATTTCTTAAATTGTGTAATTATTTGCTTTCACAGGTGCGCCCGAAATCACCGCAACCACACCACGCCATGCATGGCGCGACACCTGTTGCCCATTTCGCCCAACATTTGAATAACGTACAAGGATCTCGCAAAGCTGAGCCATATTTTTGCGATCGAACCTTAGTACAGAGCTTAGTACGAGATGCAATGGTAACAGATGGTTTGGATCGAAATTCAACTGGGCCTTCAAATGGAAAGGAGGATAAACAGTATGTGTCTGGCTGCGGAAACTTTGGAAACTCCTATTTGTTGTTTTTTGTTATAAATTTTGATTTGATTGTTTTTTCTTTTCTCTGCACATGACGACGAGACGAGTTTATCTAAGTTAAGCTATGAAGTTTACCCAGGAGTATTTATTGTTTGACCACCAAAAGAAACTGAAAATTTTCTGATAACTCAGTGATTGAGTTTGCTACGCCGGGATATCTTAATGATTGGTTCAAATTAACTGAAAGCCGCGAAGAGTAAATGTAGGTATGGAAAGCTCCGATAGCTACTTCTGAGGAAATATATAATATAAATATATATACTTTACGCCAATTGCCCTTCAAAGGCAGCAACTATTGTCTGAAGTAAGTTTTGTCCATTCTTGACTTTCGATAGAACATTCGATCGTCCAAAGTCGACTTGCCGGGAAGTTAAACTGAGGTAAGGAACTCTCAGCACCAGCTTCACTGAACATATCTGAACCTCTAAAACCTTGACCTTTGAAGAGAAAAATATTTCTCTCATCACCTGTACGCGGACATGCTGTTTCAGTGATCAAACGACTTTCATTCTAAGCTTGTTACATCTTTATAAAATTGTGCTACCGTGTCGTCTATTTTACCATGTCTCTCCTTTATTGGCGGTAGCCGATTTTGGTCTCTTTAAAAAATGAGTTTCTGGAAATTCCATTAGTGTTTGAACAGTCACCTAGAACGAAGGCAGTCGGGCTTGTCAAAACTGACTGAAGATTCTTTACAGAAAAAAAAAATTTAGGTTTCATAAGCTCGTTTCAGTCGTTTGTGCAAAGATTTTAAACTTTCTTTTTCTTTCCTTTTTTGTTGGCTTAACTTTATTTATTTATTACAAAGCACCTTTTCCTGCACCAAAAATTTAACAAATATTTTATAATATAAACCTTTATCAAATTTACATTTATTTATTTGGAAATGATATTTTATGAGCACTAAAGCACACATTTCTCTCATTTTTGTATTCCTACTCTTTTTGCTTTCTGGTAAATTAATTTTCATTACTATTTCTATATATTATGACTATTTTTTGAATAATATTTGATTGTTTATTATGATAATTATATTGGCCTGCAAACCATAATTATATCTCATCGCTGCAATAAAAATAATTTTTACAAACAAAACAAATCATAGTCCCATAGCCACATTAATGGCGATTCTAAAGAGGTAAATTACGCAAAAATTTCAAAAACGATTCTCAATATTTTATTGCTACGCCGCTTTTCAAAAAAAAAAAAATACAATATGCTAATGCTGCCCAACACACACCGGATTTTGTAAGCTTACTTTGTAAAGTATAATTGTGAAAGCTTACTTTATAAAGCGTAAAAGCTAAAGAAGAATGTAAGCTTAATACCCAAATCTAAGCCTTAGGTCTGTCGTATCGCTTTTGCCGCTATTTCTAGCAAACCAGCAGAAATGAAATAAAATAAAAGGAAAACTTGAATAAATTAACTGAAAACTAAAACCAAAATACACAAAATTCAATGAAATTAAAATAAATAAAATAAAATAAAATAAAATAAATTAAAATCAAGGAATGAAATAAACAAATATTAAAAAAAAAAATAAAAAAAAAACAAAAATCAAAAATTAGAATAAAATTATATAAAATACAAAATTAAATTAATTTAAGTTAAAGCAACAAAGCAAAATAAAAGAAAACAAAAGAAAATTTAAGGAATTAAAAAAAATTAAATTAAATAAACAAAAACGAAATAAGATAAAACAAAATTGAAATATAACAAAATAATAAAATAAATTTAAATAATATTAAGCAAAAATCAAAAAATAGAGTAGAATAGTATGAAATACAAAATTAAATTAAACTAAACCAACAAAGCAAAATATAAAAAATTTAAAACTAATTAATAAAATTAAATAATTAAAAAGTAAATAAAAATATTAAATAATAAAAATAATTGAAATAATATAAATAAATAAATCAAAATAAAAAGACAAAATAAATGAACATGACAAATATAAAATAATCTAAACTAAATTTATATAAAATAACAAATAAGATAAAATGATTTTAATATTAAAATTATTATTAAATTGAATTAAGTAATGAAATAAATTAAGATCATATGAATAAAAAAATAAAAATAAATATAATAAAGTAGATTTGAATAAAATTAAACAATAAAACAATTAATAAAATATAATTAAATTAAATAAATAAACTAAAGAAAATTTAAATAAAACAAAAAATGTTAAATAAAATAAAATGAAATAATAAACGATATTAAAATAATATAAATAAAGCTAAATTAAATCAAATCAAATAAAACAAGGGAAATTAAATAAAAAAAATTAAATTAAATAAAAAAATAAAGTAAAATAAAATATATAAAATAAAGTAATTATAATCGAAATAAAATTTAAAAATAATAAATAAAATATAACAATATAAAATATATTTAAACAAAATTTATTCAAATAAAGTGAAAATAATAATAAATGAAATATAAAAAAATTAATAAAAGAAAATAAGACAAAATAAAGCATATTAAAATAAAAAATTTAAACCAATTCGATTGAAATAATATAAAAAAAGAAAAAAAATTGAAATAAAAAAATGGAATCAAGTTAAGCTAAACAAAATGAAGTTAAATAAATTAATATGAGACAAATTAAAATTAAATTAAATATTAAATACAAAGACGTAGAAGAAATGAAAATAAAGTAAATAAAACAAATTAGAAAATTAACTATTGTAAATTACTTACAAATAAAATAAAATAATAAAAATGGAAATAAATTTCACCTAAGGAAAAGAAATTAAATAAAAAATGGATAATAAACTAAATAAGTTCAAATTAAATTAAAATAAAGTAAAAAAATAAAAATGAAAATAATTTACAGTAATTTCCTGCAAATTTAGTTGGTTTTTCAGAAAGTCTTGTTCTCCTCATATCTACAGCTTGGTAAAAGAATCCTGTAAACAAATATTTACTTCTAGCTTACTAACTATGCCGTCACGTATACTTCCAGGCAAGGTTATCAAAAATTTCTGGTCGCCACCTCCTTTGTTGCTACACGCTCGGGCCTGCTGCGTTGGATTGACCATATCAAGAGGCCGGAAGACTCACCCGAACCGTAAGTTCTTTAAACATTACTTGTGTTACTTTACATAGAAACTGGAAATTACTCAAACTTCTTTTTCTCTCTTCAAACAGTCACTTCAGCGAAGATAACGCTCGTGCCATGGACATGCCTTGGTACAAACGTGCTGTCGATCAACATACCGTAGAGCAGGACAGTTTTGTCTATAGTGTACCCTTTGCCACCGGCTTTGCACCCAAACTCAATACAACACTTGTGACCGCTTCGCATGCCATTTTCGTCGAACATCGTGGCCACAAAGCCATAGCCGCTGTTGTGGGACTACAATTTCAGTTGGACTCTTTAGCGAAGCATTTCATAAACATAACCTCAACTGTAAGATGGAAATATATTGTAGAAACAAAATGTTAAATATTAAATTTATTTGTTCTTCAGTGCACCGGCATGACAGGCTGTCGTCGTACATGCGCCTCAGACGATCTTGATTGTTATGTATTGGACAATAACGGTTTTGTCATCATCTCCGAGCAGAGTGAACAGTCTGGTAAATTTTTCGGTCAAATCGATGGCACCATAATGGATTCTTTGGTGCAGGATCGTATTTATAAACGTGTCACTGTGAATGATTATCAAGGCGTTTGCTCCGATTCGGATAATCCCTATACGGCTGCAAGCACTTCGCTACAACCACATCGCATCTCTGCGTGGTTAATGAAACATTTTGTAACTTTGGGTGCAACTTGGTTGGCTATGTTGCCGACACCATTGCGCGCTTGGCCACAGGATGATTACACTTATAATGAAGATGTTTTTGAGGAGCCGACATACACAGACGAATATGAACCGTTCGAGGATTACAATGCACAGATTGATGAGGAAATGGACGAATTCTTCACCACCGCCGATGTGGTAAGTGTGGTATATTGACTGGTACTAGGTTTGAAGTAGTCGACATTGAATTAGGTTAGGTTGGGGCTTAGTGGCTATCGACAAAACCACAACGATTTCACTAAGATCCATTGAGACGACACTGACTGACACCAGACACTAAGCTTTTACCATCGAGTTACTGCGATTTTTTGCTAAACCTCGTGAGATAAACTGCGTTAGCGTTCCAAACTTTCGAGTGCCACCTTTCTAGTAATTATTTCCACAACCTTAAATCAAAGAGCTCCGTATTTTTCTGCATGTCTTGCTATCAGACAGCGGCCTGTCAGAACTCCTATTAATTAAGCCTTTTTCAAAAGAATGCGTTTCGCATGCTCCTTTCTTTTCCCATTTCAGCCGGGTAGGTAGGTAGAAATCTTCGATATCTGACGATACACTTAGGCCTTCAGTAGGCGCTTTGTAATACCACCGGGACTCAAATTCCCTTCACACTATAATAACCTCGTGCCTTTCTCAGCGAATCTGTTTGCCTAACGGTTTCAATCGATGCTTTCTAGGACCAGGGACCAGGTGGAGTTTTGTTTCATATCTCTACTGGTTTCATTTTAGCATTTGGAAGCGAACCCTTAATTCCCCTTCAACGCAATCTACACCGTTAAATATTTCGAATGCAGTGAGGTAGGCAAAAGTTGTAAGTGAAAGCGACCCAAGAACGTTTACTTCAGCTTGCATCAGAAGATCGTAAGATCTCGTCAGAATCCCAAATTCCTTTGAAATGTTCTTCTTTCTCACGGAGTATACACTTTTCATGCGATCTTCTCTGGTCTCATTTCGGTTCCACTTTACCTCGACTTGGGACATAACCCGTTTTGTTCTCACCTTGACGTGACCTAACTGTAAACTAATACCTAAAGTAGCAGTTCGCATGTGGGGATAGACATGCTATTCCCGATAAACAAGCTAGGCAAGTTCGTCTGTCCTTCAATTGGTTCTGGTTCTGTGATCTGGGACTCAAATGAGAGCTCATCTGCTCTGTTCAGCTGCCGCATAAAGAGTTCTACATCTCTGCAGCACGGTATTTTTTTTTTATTGCTGCCCCGCTCTCACTAAAAATGAAGTATCTTCTAGTTCCAAAATGTTTTAGAGCTTCCATGAGAGTTTAGTATTCGGCTTGAGACATTTTGTCAAGACCACACAGCTGGAATAAAAATTTTATTCAATGATTATGCGGGAAAAGACATCTACATACGCTACCAGCGGTCGAGTAGCTAGCAGTACGTACTACCGTGCGGAGGGCCATGCATTCGAATTTTTGCCGGACCAACACCCCAGTTCGTCTCTTCTCCTTTTGTCGAACCAAATATAGAAAAAGAGAAAAAGTACCAATACTTTCTACATATTTTCATTATACTTCTCATCAAAAATTCCAGGAAAATACAACACCACCACCCAAGCAACATAAACCGCACACCGGACCACGCGCCTCACCAGATCCGCAACACGCGCGTCGCTGCGACCTACGCACCGATCTTTATATGCTACAGCCAGAACGTCTCAATCAAGGCGGCCAAAATAATCCATTGAAGGTAAACTTCTTTTGCGATTTGCTAAATTTCATGTGTGAACTTCTTTCTATTTCTACCAGGGCAAGTTGACGAATTGTCATGTGTCGGGATGTGAGCGGCCCTTCAGCGTACAGAAAATACCGCACAGTAATCTCATATTGTTAGTAGTTGACACGCTTTGCCCTTGCGGCTCCAAGCAGTTGGATATAGAACCACTAGAAGAGTCGGGCACTATTGGTATGAAAGCGAATTTTGAAAAATTCTAGAAAAAATTGTTGAAATTAAATTTTTTTTTAATGCCTTTAGGTGCCTGCAGTGCGCGTCGCCAAACGCAGGAGAGCGCCAAGCGTCGCCGACCTAAAAAATGCATCAATTATCATCCTGAAGAGATTGAAATACAACAATGTGGGCGTGCCACAGCACTACTACAAATGCCGCTCTCAATTGTTATGGCGCATTTGCTTATGTTGGCGGTGACCTTCGCGCTGACAAATGCGTGATACTAAGTGCAGTTTACGGTAATGGCAAAGCACTAGAAAAAAAGTTACAGGTTATAAAGAAAAAAATAAATAAAAAATAGTAAAGAGCGACAAAAATGCTGGCGCAGTGAGCAGTGGAGAAAAATGAACTAACTTGAAAAGTAAAAAAAAAAAAATTATAATAATAATAATTAAAACGACTACAAGAAACAACGCAAAAGTTACAATAGTTATGCCAACACACAAAAACAAAAAACAAAAAACAATTTACAACAAAACCCACTAATGTTAAATAAGCCAACATATTTAAGTGTATGTATATTTTATTGATAACGGTAACTCTTTATAAGAACGTGTTATAAGCAGACATTTTACATAAACTAATTTAATAGGCTTTAATTAAATTTAATTTAAGTTTAATCAATTTAGTTTATTTTAATTAAGTATATTAAATAAAATTTAAACTAAATATAAATTAATTTAATTGAAATTGGCCATACTATTAATTTTTTGTTATAAGTTTTTAATTTACTATAATATAATTAAAATTTAAAATTTAATTTAATTCAAATTTAATTGATGACAATATAAATTAAATTTTTGCACTTTTCTGATTAGGATAAATTTTAACAACGTAGTTCTACAAGAGGCGAATATATATTTTGAGGTTAACAAAAATTACTAAATTAATTTTAAAGCAATATTATTAAAAACTCCCTTAAAATTATTTGGAATTGCTATCGGGTTATATTTCAATTAATTATATTCCAATCTTAAGAAAACTTCGCATTCATTTTCATAATTTTTATAATTGGCAGATAATTTTACTCAATATTAATATTGAATAAATTTAAAAAAAAAATTTAAATAAGTCTGAAGACTAATAAATCATAATTTTTTATTTGATACATATTGTTCTATAAATTATTTCTTTTCAATAATAAATAGAATTATTTTTCAATTTATTTATTTAAAATTTTTATATTTATTTATATAATACAATACAATAAAATGTTTTTTTTTTTTCATTTAATATATTTCAAAATTTTTTTAATTTTTTTTAACTTATTTACTTAACATTTTTTTTATTATTTATATAACTTTTTTTTTACATTTCATATGTTACATATATATTTATTTATATACATATTTTTTATTATGTTTTGTTTTTAATAATACATAAATTTTTTATTTTTATGTCACAGCAGTTAATAAAATAATTTATTTTCAATAATAAATATATCAGCTCTTTCAGTTAAGTTATTTAATATTTATTTTTTTTTTAATTTGTATATCTGATAATTCATAAATTTTTATTTATTACATATTTTCCAATAAATTATTTCTTTGTAATAATAAATACATTTTTTTTTAATTTACTTACTTATAATTTTTTATTTATTTATTAATTAATTTATTTATTAATTAATTTATTTATTAATAAGTGTTTTTAATAAGTCGTAAATTTTTATTTTTTTTATGTAATATGCATTTAACAATAAATGATTTATTTTTAATAATAAATATATCAGCTTTTTCAGTTTAGTTATTTCATAATTTTTATTTCTAATAAATCATAATTTTTCATTTTTATTTAGTATATATTTTTCAATAAATTCTTTCTCAATAATAAAAAATAAATAATGTTTTTTTATTTATTCATAAATTTTTAGTTAATACATATTTTCTAATAAATAATTTCTTTTTAATAATAAATAAATTTTTTTTTCAATTTATTTATTTATATTTTTTTTATTAATATAATACAACTTTTTTTCATTTATTATATTATATTTCTTTTTATGAATTTAACATGTTTTGTTTTTAAAAAATCATAAATTTTTATTTTTTTTTTATGTAATACGCATTTAGCAATAAATCATTCATCTTTAATAATACATATATCAGCTTTTTCAGTTTATTTATTTAAAAATTTTTATTTCTAATAAATCATAATTTTTAATTTATTATTAAGTACATATTTTTCAATAAATTCTTTCTCAATAATACAAAACAAATAATTTTTTTCTACATCTTTACTTAGTACCTTTTTATTATTTATATAACTTTTTTTTACATTTCATATGTTACATATTTATTTTTATTTATTCATAAATTTTTATTTAATACCTATTTTCCAATAAATTATTTCTCAATAATAAAAAATATTTTTTTTTCAATTTATTTACTTAATTTTTTTATTTATATACGTTTTTTTTATTTAATATATTACATATTTTTTTATTTATTTAACAGTTTTGTTTTTAATAAATCATAAATTTTTACTTTTTTATATAATATAATAAATCATTTATTTTTAATAATGAATATATAATATCAGCTCTTTCAGTTTAGTTATTTAATATGTATTTATTTATTTAATAATTTTTATTTCTAAAACATCATAATTTTTAATTTTTTATTTAATACATATTTTTCAATAAAATATTCTCAGTAATAAAAAATAAATAATTTTTTTTCAAACTTATTTACTTAACTTTTTTTTTATTTATATAATTTTTTTTTCGTTATATGTGTTTTATACATATATTTTTTTTCTTTTATTTAATTTTTTTTTTTATAAATTATATTTTTTATTTATTTTATGCAATACACATTTTTTATTAAACTATTTTTTTTTTAATAATAATAATATTTTATCTTTACTTTTTATATATTACATGTTATTTGGTTAAATAAATCTTTTTTATTCATAATTGTTTATAATATATAAATAATATTAGGCAGCATTTCTTGGTTTTTAATTATACTTATTATTTTATATTTTAAAAATATATAATGAACACATTTAAATAGCATATTGCTCTATTACCATACATACATATGTATTTTGCAGAGCTTCCTTTTTTAAGATATTTAGCATTATATTTCAATAGTAGTAGAAAAAATTAGCATTTTAACTGAAATCCAGCCATCAGTATACAAACATACCATCTAACAATCAAAATATTCTTTTTAGACACACTGCCTGAAAATTTTGATCTGTTGTCTTCCGAAAATATAAATTCAATAATTTAAGGCAATCAATTCATGCCACTTGACCAATGAAAGGTGATTTTTGAAGTGCTTTCGGTTTTAATTTACCATAAAACCTATGAAATTCAAAAAATTTATGAAATCCCTGGTTGAGTCGAAGGAACGAACGTAAATTTATTGTTAAAAGAATCTAGCAGGGTATCTTACGAATAAGCTCTTTAATATTGGCTCCCAGCGCCGCAATGGTTGCGGTTTTGTCGCTATGAAGCTGAGATTTAACTTAGCTTGGCAAAAATAGTCGATAGGCGTTAATTCCCACAATCTACCTGGCCAAATGAGCGACCCCAAAAGGCGTATAAACTACTCACTGAACTCTCAATTAATTTACAGCTTCAGCTACAAAAAGTTTTGAAATCATCGCACGTTGTAAAAGTACGGCCTAATGATGCCGCCGACCCATAATTCGCACCAAACAGTGACTGTTTCGGTAAGCAGTGGTAGTCCATTGCTTCTGGTTGCTCTTCTTCACCCTAAATACGGCAACTTTACTCGTTCATATATCTATTCATCACTGAACATAATTTATCAAAAAAAAAAAGTGGTTTCACATTCAAACACTCAGGCGAAATTTTCCACTTAGTTGAGTACTATGAACGCCGCCAAATCGATAATTCATCATCACACTGGCAGATGAAATTACGATATAATCATCTGGATTGACTCTTCATTAGTGTGTTGATGATTTAATGTCCAATAATTCAAATATTAAGATTTAAACCACATTTCTATAGCTTCTTTATGCTTTCAGAGAACGCTGAAGATCTTCTCAATATCGTCTTACTATGTTGGCTTTCCAGTTCAGGTTATTCAGTCAAGAAATACGTCCACCCACACATTTTTGCTTGCATTCGTGGACTTAAAAGTTATTCCCCCATAGAGTTGGTGGGTTAATCGTCAGTTTTTTATAACCCTTAGTGAATAGAACAAGTTCCAGCTTTTTTGAGTTGAAGTAAAGTCAACACAGCGGCTAGACCAGTTAGATACTTTTCGAAGAGTCCCCTGCAACAAGTCGCATAGAGTTTGCGGTAATATCTTCGATGCAATGAATATTTGTTCCTCCACACTCAATTTTTATTACGCCTCAGATTTGCCGAACTGAAGTCGAGTCAAGCTTTTAGGTCTTCAAATCGAAAGTAATGCAACTTCGTCCATGCTGGTATATATCTCCCTTTATTATAAATGATGTAGTGGCGGTCTTTCCAAAAATCTACTTCGGTATCTTCTTTTGATAAGCTACTACTGTAGTTCTTTGTTTCCATTTTTTTTAATTCTTTCTTGCTACATCGTCAATCGATCTATGAATCCCATTGAAAAGCTCGACAAAGATGCAACAGATGAAAAGTCATGTTTATATCGAGCCGCGTTCAGTTCGTCGACTTTGATATCTAATTGTTATCCAACTGATCCTTACTATTTAATAGACAGAATCTTTTTAAAACATTAGTATGAGTATGAGTTTGTGGCTTCTCATTCTCTCGCTATATGAAGATTAATGTCCCAAGGGAGTATGACCAAAGAATAATTCATAATCATAGATGTAGTCCGCTTTTATTTTTCACTCTTTCATTCGTTCTTGAGTTCTACCCACCACAACTGTTGACTAAAATCATCCGTTCCTTCGAGTTCCGCGAAAAGCCTACACTTTTCCCCATAATGAGACATTATTCCCCGAATAACTGAATTTTTCAGCTTTCAGTCTTATAGCTTCCAGTGAATACAGCAAGTTCCGTCCTCAGTGGGTAAATACCTAAATCATCGTCACTTTTCTATTCGTTTTAGTTCGCTCGACTATCCCAGCTAGCGTTACCTCCAACTAGTCCGCTCTATGTCGTTCAGTAGTTGGCATATTGGTAAGATTTATAGAAGAGGAAAAACTACTCTTACCTATAGGGTTCTCCTGACGTCACGTGCTGACACTTCTACAAGCTCAGATCTTACGATTCTGTGGTTAATTGATGTATAAGTATGATAAGTGTTTCGAAGAAGTCACCCTCATGGCATGTCTCTCTAGTACAGTGGGCGCTATAAAGGTCAAGTCACCTATAGAATTTTCTTGTTTTTGTTTTTATTTCGATCTGCCAAGCTCTTTAATTGTTTCAATAAAATTTTTCTTTGAA